GAATAGGGAGAAAATCCACCATTCAGCAGAAAGGAAGGAAACAGAATAGAGAAAGTTACATATGGGGAAAATCCCAGAACATAGAGAATAACGCACAAAAGTATATATATGTATTTTATAAGAAGAACAGGAGAAGTGATGATATGATCTAACCGAAGGTGAGGATCATAACAATCTGTCCTTTGCAAGCTCAGTCCACTCATTTTGGAGTATATACACTTGAAGATAAATTTTTCACATAACAGTTGGAGGAGCAATCAGTAAAACGAGGAACGAGAACGAGTTTCTGAGGGGAAAGCATTCGTAATAAGATACCCGTGGAAGGCCTTGTAGTCCACAAAAAAGTGCTACAACTCCCTTAATGGATGCCATACAACATCAGAAATGGCTACAGCATGTTCAGGAACACATATTTTATCTAGGAGAATGATCAGAAAAAATTTGCACAATTTTAGGTTTCTAAGGGTTTTCCAAAACATTTAGCAAAACTTTTAATGAGATTTTCAGAATCAGACAAAAAGTTCAAGGTCGTTTGGACTTGATTTCGCCGAGTTATAGAATTTATAAAATTAGGTGTATCGAAGATTTTCAAAAAAGCGCCGTCCGTGATTTTTTGCCTGTAACTTCGTCAAATTTTATCCGTTCTATTCGAATGACGTCTCATTCCAAAGTCCATCGAAAGATGAACAATATCAGATGTTTCTAAACTTTTTCGACCGGGAACTAGATTTTTCACAGGCCTACCATTTGAAAAATGACTAATTTTAAAAACAAAATTTTTCAATAAAGTTTATTTTTCTCCATCCAGTAGATTTCCCGCAAAATGTAAGTCAGTGCGTTTTGTAGAGCGCACAATTCTCTATATAATGAGCTATAAAACTTTCTTTCACAACCTCAAGAACATGTTGAAAAATTGCTTGCAATTATTGCCATCAAAGTAATTATACTATCGTTTTTTTTCAAAGTGCAATTTTTCATGAAAAAAAACGCACTTTTTATATTAAATCAAGTACGCTGATGAAGGTACAAGGGGTTATAGACAGACATATTATAAATATTTCAATATTTTATTTGACACCAGTACGTTTCCTCGATGACGAACGTTTTTTAGCCGGACGAACATCAGTCGTTGATCCAGCTCTTTTATCTGGTGACACTGCTGGGTTTCGAGAGGAAGCTGGAGGGGATGATTGTTCATTGCTAATTCACATTGAATTTCTTAAATTATTTCTTTGCTCAGTGTCTTCAACTACCTGATTATCATCAAATTCATCGTCATCTTCGTCTACAACTACTGTTTCTGTTTGCTTTTCACGTATCGCCTTCAAACGTGAAAAAAACGATCTGATCAGACCAGGTTTTAAAAACTCGGCCGGTGTGAAATAGAATCTATCCTTCAAATCGTTCTTTCGTTGCATTTCACCTGATACTTCCTCTAGTTTCCATCGAATTCTCTGTTGTACATCCTCATCGAACTTCTCAGTGAGATATTGTATCTGAGATTCATTCAGACGTGACACTTTCGTTCTTTTGGCAAAGCCCATCATCTGTCAGGTGGTGTAATACGGTTTGTATCATCACCATTATCAAGTGTAGTCTCTTCTAATTGAAGACAAATCATTGATCTTACTCCAATATTTTCCAGTTTCTAGTGAAAGATAGCCATACCCATGTCCCTCATGGAACTGCATTCTATTCGACGTCGATGTTTTCCTGTACGTAAATGTTAAGTTAAATTTACGTATCTGATAAACGAAACTACACATCCCTCTTCGGGACAGTCATACAGCTTACTTCTATTAGCCTGAGTCGCCGGTTCAACTGTAGCTGTTGTGCTGATCGAGGAACGGTCAGACAGAGCTTTACGTTCTTTAGAAACTGGGGTAATGGACGACGATTGTGGCTTAGAGGATCATGGTTGACATTGTAGATGACCTATAGCTTTCGGTGTATCCAATAATCGCCATTTAATATCATCGTCGACGTTCCATGCCCTATGTACTCGTATACCATGTTCTTCAAACCCTACTCCAGAACTTTTTCGCGAAGGTATACGCGACACCTACGTATGTGCATAAAGCAGCCTTCAAAAAAATAAGGAGGAGTATTGTACGTCCTGTTAGACGGATTGGTCCTATTTAGTAACTTGAAAAACGGCAATCAGAGGGCCTATAAGACACCGGCTTGAGTTCAATACTCATAATCTATGTGGAATGCCTTGTACCTTCATCAGCGTACTTGATTTAATATAAAAAGTGCGTTTTTTTATGAAAGATTGTACTTTAAAAAAAAATGATAGCGTAGTTACTTTGATGGCAATAATTGCAAGCAATTTTTCAACATGTTCCTGAGGTTGTGAAGGAAAGTTTTATAGCTCATTAAACATTTTCTAGACAATTAGCATATGCGATGTGTAAGTGACGTTTTGCTTTTGATTTACAGACCTTATAGTACGATGGTATTATAAGGTTCATTATATGCTACGCTCCTAACAGCTGTGAAAGCAATTTGTTTCTACAGTCAACTCAGGCATTTACTATGCTGCATACTTGTACTAACCTTCTGTGTGCCTAAAGGAAAGTTTATTTACTTGGGTTTGTGAAAGTCAAAGTTTTTCACAAAGGCGAAAAAACAGCAATCGGCTTAATGCATGCTAGGAAAAATCTTTGTATAGATCAAACTCAGAATTCGGAGAACAATAAACTACATTGTTAAAGTGAAGGGAGATAGTGTAGATGCCAACTGACATTTCTTTTCATTGAGGTTTCAATCATGTCATCTTTCTTCGACCTAAAAGTTTTGTATTTTACCACAAAAGGGCTGTGTTAACCCTTTGTTTACTTATTTTAGCGGATGAATATTCACAGTCATTTATTTTGTTAACAACATGGAAAGAAATTGTCCAGTGGTTGAAATTATCACCTTATTTACGAAAGATTTCTAATACATATGAATACATTTTTTGGAATAAAAATCGAAAATGTGTTGTCAGTGAAGATGATACAATAACATTGACAATTGATGATATTGATGATAATTTAATGTATAGATGGAATCAGGGCTGATAATATAGTAAAGTTAAATTTCAGTATGAAACTCAATCGTGTGTAATCGATACACTAAAATCAACATCGATAAATTAATTAAGAACAAACAATTGTTATCGCATTTACAGAATAACTAAATAACGAAAGAAAATTAATACTTGTGAAATAATTGATATTAATTCAGAAATTCATCACGACACACAAATTTATTTATTGAAACAAAATCAAACATCCTTAGTATCGATAATTAAACCTGCAAACCAACTATCAACTGTTGGTGATCGAAAACGTTTTATTCATGATTTAACAATTGAAAATATTTGTAAACAATTCGATTTATTGCCAGAACAATATCTGATGTTTGATAATGATTTTATATCACCAAGAAATATAAAACTTTGTTCAGTTTTGTCATGCGCTTTACGGTAAAAAACAGAAACAGTTACGATATAAGTGACCAGCCTGTACAGATAGTGGCTTAGATGGCTGAAAAATTATCCGTCTCACTCTACAGATGCCGAGGTTTGACCTAATCAGCGGTTCCTTAGATACCGGACATACGTTACATATAATTCACATTCTTTACCAAAAAGACATTGTGTATGCACGACTTAGAAAACTGACTAACGGAAAAGCAAGTACATACGTGGCGTGATAGCTAAGTATATGCGCTTTAGTATCACTGATGTAGTCAAACATTAAAAAAGTGATCACTGATATTCATTGGATGAATTACAGGTTTAAACAACTTTCAAATAACCTTTCACATCCTCATGTATCTTCCGTCGAGTTCAGCACATTTACTGGGATATTCACTGAGCGTGTCACTTAATTCGTATCTATGACACTAAAGTTAATACACGTACCTGTTATGTCGTAAATCGTGTTGACAAAGCGTGGAAGTGGCTGCCGTTGAAAATCGAGAAGAAAAGATGTCTCACAAAGGTGCACCTTCTGATGAATAGAGTTTTACTTCAGATGATGCCTACATTGACGGTTTTTTGTTCAAATCAGCAATAAAAACAAACATTTCTATTATGTTTTGTTAAAGGGCCTAAAAATTGTATACACATCTCTAAACAGTAGATGAATATTAATTTTATCATACATTAACCGATCCTTGAAAATCGAATCTAGGCGAAAGTCCACACCGCAGACTAGATTCAAATCTGATCTGACTGAACCAGAAAGGAAATATCAACAAGACACATTTTTTTCTTTTCTCCTAGAAAGATAAGATCTGGAAGGTCCTTTTCTGTGACTATCTCTCTCTAATTGCGGTGCTTGAGACCTATTGAGAGCGAAATTCTGAGATACAAAACAAACGTGTTTGTAAAAGCCTTCTCGTTGAGTAGACTTTTAGTTGGACAAAAAAATGTCAAAAACTGTGAAAAGTAATCTTCTTTTGATAACTGTGCTTTCATTTTTTTCTAAACTGCATGCTAACAACATATACAGTGGAATAATGCAGCAATTTCATCCCGTCTCTTGGATCTTTAGAAAGCTTTACAGAAAAAAAACAGTGTTTAAGGTTAAAAATGTAGAGCTCTCTAGCTCCATTGCAAGAGAAATTTTCATTTGTGTATCTTAAACTCGCTGACAAAGATCTTTTGTCTCCAAAATATCCCTTGTATCTCACTGCTTCTATCGCAACCTCTCATTCTCTTTTAGCTCAGGTGATCACCAAACAGCAACAATTAATTTTTCAGTTGTTGATAAAAATCTAGTAATAACAGTAACAATAAGAAACAAAAACGATGATGACATTCTAAAATTAAACTGTTCTAAAATGTTAACAATTGGACGTTTATGTGATATAAGTTGTTTGTTATTCAATGGAGAGAGTAAATACTATCGTTTAGATGATTCAGAAGGATATCGTCTGGATGAAAAAGACACATTGGATAATCTTAATGAAGAAGCAAATGAATTTCAATTTCAATTTATTTGCAAAGCACAAATCAAACGTTTAATCAAAAATAGTCGAACTGCCCTGCCATTTAAAAACATCACTCGATGATCTATTTGTACACTGGCACTTCCACGAAGCATCTCCATCAGAGTCAGTTGCTAATGAAAAGCCTTCCGTGCACTGTTGTGAAAAACCATAACAGAAAAATCTCATAGAGTTTTTTAGCACAGACACACTTGCAAAGTTATTTGTGCGCGTGTCCAAGAATGAGTGTGAAAGAATGTGCGGGAGTTTGAAAAGTAATTTTATACTAATAATAGTTGCGTGATGTAGTATGATATTAGATACAGTACTTGAAAACGAACTAAACTGAAAGATATAATTAGAAGTTGATTCGTCGATAACACCGTATGGTTTGCTAGCGTTTTAAATATACGGACAACGTGGAGGTTTGTTAACTTCTATCAAAACAAAACTTCCGATGTGTCATCTAAAGCCGTTCTAACTTTCAGATCATCTTTTCCCCAAATTTCTATAATCATGAGTCACTCAGAACTATTGACTGATACGGAAGAGAAAAGAATCTAGAAAGGAGAAACAAAGAAAGAAGAATTTGGCTAAACAGCGCACATAATGAAAACTTTTAAGTCTCTCTCGCTCGTTTGAACCAGTGCTATTCACCTATTTATAACGCGTTTAAAACGAACTCGCACGCACTATCCCAAAAAATCACGGATCAAATGTAAAATTCTACGGATGAAGCATAGGACGATCACACTTGGGAATTTTGTACGCACTTGAAGCATGGCAATGCTGCGCTTCATCTGTAGAATTCTATACTTTAAATGCTGTACAATGCGAAGCATGATTTCCCTACGCTTGAAGCACGGAATCACTATGCATGAAGTGCGGAGTCTGTAACATGCTTTAAGTGTGAAAATTTTTTGTTTGTTTTTGCTTTTTTTGTAACATACTTCAAGCATGTAACTTTCACAAGTGTATGCTTTTTTGTTACTACGCTAGAAGCATGAGACGAAAGACGCCATCTTTTTTTCCTTTTATTCTATGTCGAAGTTCTATCCTGTAATCAGCTTTTTTTTGTACAGTCTAACCTGCACTAACTGTTTCAGCAGGTCGTATTGCTAAACAACTTTAGTCAGGCTTAGGGCTAACTCGAGGCTTCAGTCACAGTTAAGTCCTCGACTTAGATTCGAATCGCATTACAAAAAAACTTAAATTAAATGGTGACTTAAGTGATGAAAACTGCAATCTTAGTATTCAGACCGAAAACTTAAGTCACCAACGCATTTCGCGATTAGCTCAGGTACTTGACGATGGAGTTCGAGGAAACCCTTTAACAAGGTTTAGAGAATAAATATTTCGTTATTTTTTGGTTTTTGTATCAAGTTTGCGATTGTTGCCAACGAATTTGAGAAAGTAAACAAATCACTGACTTATGTTTTTTTGTAATTCGACTTAGGCAAACATCAAACGATTTAATGAACTCTTGCACCTCATTTCTTTAAGATCATGACTGGCATGTATAGTGGAATGAAACGCTTACTTATCGCGGACAGAACTGATAATGATATGGCACAACTTTATTCTGAAGCGTTTAAACGGGGTTTTGCTCTAAAAAAATTTTATGTATGTCTATGTTTTTAGTTTTCTTATACATTTAGAAAGTTGCCAAACGATTCATTGATTTATAGGCAGAAAAGTAGATACGATAACCATTTA